TAAATATTGTATATAAATAAGTCAAGCAAAAATCTACACTCAACATTATAATCACAATTTTGACATTTAAAATAGAATCATTTTAAAAACCATATAACCTATTTTTAAATTATATTTTTGTCCAAAATATGAAAACTAACTCCATATTATGAAAGCTACTTGCTCACTTTTCTCAAAATATTAACAAAGATCTACTTTCAGTTATGACATAAAATAAACCTAATTTACCTTTGGATTTTCCTACTAAATATTTTTCCTCTAATGCCCTGCAACCCGTTTCATAGCATTCCAAAAGCCAGTCCACAGTTAGTGCAGGTAAATTCCAGTTTATACAAGCCTGATATTTGGACCCTTTTGCTTCTTTACAGATCAAATGTGTAGCTGCTCCAATTCCTTCACTAGAAAGGCCATACCGAATAAACTTGTCATTTGTCCTGAAAATTGAGTTAGTAAATTTCTACTAATTTCTTAAAAATATGTACTTTTCTGCTAATTACAAAGAAAGGGGCTTGTCTGACTATCTCATAATATTAATCAAAGCAAGTCCTATCCACTAGAGGTTTTATGAATAGGACTAAATTTTTGAAATAAGCAGAGCCGTTTTTAAGGCATCAACAAAAAGTGAAAAATCAGATTATGTAGATATAGCTTTTCCAAACTTGGTCATAATGATACTTAACTATTACTACTACTAAAATGACTTAATATGGCAAGAAAACCAAATTAGCAAGTTGGGTTTGCTGGTGAAAACCTAAATTCTTCCTTCAGAAAGTTAAAAACCATATATAAAATGTTATTGTTTACGTTGATTATTCACAAATATCAGAAGATTTGTTAAGCTGGCCCCTATGCAAAAGAAATTCAAATACAAAAGTCATCAAGTAGGTGAAATTTTATATAAGGTTTGAATATTTTTTTCACTTACTGCCCACCCAGTTCTTGGATCAATTCTGCAATATACGTTCGTTCTGGGGCAACATATGAACTTATAGAAAATACCAAATTTTGTAGAGGCTTCTTATGGGTATAATAATAGGTCTATGATAATACTGTATCGGCACCACACATTTTTGTCCTAAACAGGAATTCTGCAATATTGCAAAGAAAATATAATTATAAGTATTCATATTTACTAAATATTAAATATATTTAATCAAGATAATAAAATGTAAATCTAAAGCAATCACTAAAAGTAAATCATAGCAAAAGCACTTAAGCATTACAAAAGCTTGTAATTTTTTTATAAAAATCAATGAGGTAAAATAATGATAGAATTAGAGCATAAGTCTTTGTAACATGATTCACAGTATATCAACACAGTAAATATATTCAAATAGAATTAAAAAATAATCTTGACCCAAATGTTAAAATACTAGCTTTTTATACAAGTTTGAATACTTACAATAAACAAAGAATTTACAATTTCACATTTTTCTGGCCTTCAATACTATTCAATAACTTGAGAGGAACAATTATATATTTTGCCTCATTCACATTATTAGTAATACGGCCTCCTACATTTGGAATAAGAGTTAACTGTTCATTTCTCTCAGAATCATTAAGCTCTTCACTTAGATAAAATGAGTGATTTGATAAGTATGAAAATGTGGATTGATCAGCACTGATAGTGGAATCTATTAATGAGAATAAAAAAAATATTAGTTCACTTTACAAATTAGTAAAGTTTATCTGCTTTCAAAAAACAAAGCCACATCAATTATTAAGATTATTTTATTAGTTTTATTTCATTTCTTTTACTTGTCTATCAAAATTGAAAAAAATGATTATCCTACTAAGTTTTACCTGTAGTTGTACCAAACTAGTTGAACTTATATACATTTGCATAACTCTTGATTGGTGTTCAAATTCTTTTAATTTCTCATCTCTTGGAGTTGGAATTAGTCGACAAACTGAATCATTCATTGAAATAGTTTTTAGAACATTGTCCAGTTTTCGTTTCTAGAATTCAAAGTGCACTTAGTAATTAGATTAAAATATATTACAATATATTTAACATACCACTTTCGTATTTGTTTTCTCTTCTGGAAACTTGATTATATAATCGTCTTCAGGCATTGCCTGCTTATGCTTTATACTATCGGACAGCCAACTTATATTTACAGTGAATGGCCTAAAAATATGGTATGAAAAACTAAATGTACCAAAGTAATAAATCATATTAAAAATAATCAATTTAAAACTTAGCATACAAAGACACACACACACACACACACATATATATATATATATATATATATATATATATATATATATATATATATATACTCTATAAATATTGTACTAAATGTATTATTCTTACGTAAGATTTTTATCACTGAATTGCTTCATATCAAAATTAGCATTGTTGTTCAAAATACTTTTTCACATGGTTCATCATATCTCGTTGCACCACCCGAGTTAAAAATTTTATACAAAAATTCTCTATCTTCTGTAGAAAAGCCCGCTGCATAAATCTGCACATTATATAACAATGTTACAATTTTTTAAAATTTTTAATTAATAGCTTTTGAATACACGTTCATCAGAAAATTAATTTCTCTCAAATCAGTTTCTAAATTAATTTAATTTGTGTTCACAAAATGTTCAATAGTCGATTTAAAAAAAATCTTAATAAAAAAAAAGTTATTCAAGTAGAGCATAATATATATTCACTTACGCCACAACCATCCAAAAATAATCCAGCATTTCTGACATCTTTCATATTAAATAAGGGTTTAATTTCACTTCGAAGTGTGCTAATAGCACAAGATTTTTCCAAAGTTATATCTTGCATTTTTTCTTGTATTGTAATATTCACTGTTTCATTTACTGTTGAATTAATTTTCTGCTTATCCATTACAATGGCACTCATCATAGAAAAATTACTAGTCAAATCAGCTGCAATAAATTTGTTAATTGTTTTTAATTTTTTCATTATCTCAATATTTTAATTCTTATCTTAAAAAGATGATATTTCAAATATGTGAGATAATGTAAAATGGTATTATTATTTTAGGATCATTGGTAAATTTATAATTTTTAACATATATTATCTAAATTTTCAACAAATAACTGTATTATAAAGAAGGGCTATATTTACGAGCATTTTCTTTAGTAGGTGTGCTCGCGTTTGATACTTCAATTCTGTATTTATCCATTGCAACCGCATAACCAAAAGCCACACTATCTTTAACCCAATCTGGATTTACAATTTCCTTTTTAGATGTTCGAGCTGCATTGTATTTTGCGCTATCAATACCATTTTTATTAATCACCAGTACGTCTGTTGAGAAAAAAATTAGTTCTTAAAATAATTTTTTTAACACGTTTATTGAAATAAAACATTTCAAATTATATATAGTATAAAATAAATATGCTTAAATAATATAATAGTATAATATAATAGTGTATTCTAATATATGAATGATATTTATTACTTCAAATTTTTGAAAGCTTTTATGTTTTTCTGTAGTGTCTTATATTTGATTAATTAAGATATAACCATATGCATACAGAAAACTAATTTAATTTTTGTCTTAATAATTTTGCAAAAGATTTGGTTCAAATGTCTTCTTATTAATAACATTTGAACACTTAATTTTAAAAATACTATTGTTAATTCTTAGTCATTTATAAATATACTGACTATATTATTCAAATAAAATGGAAATAAAAGATAGGATTTTGATATAACCTGTTGTATCCGTTTGAAACTTTCCACTGTAAGTACCACCATTATCTTCTATTAATTTTTTAACATTATTTTTATCTTCTCCTGACAAACTAGCCGATGTGATCTATAAAAAAAATAAATTAAATTATTGATGTCAAGGAATAAATATATACTAATTATATGATATAAGTACTAACAGTCAAACCATAAAATGGAGGAAGTCTGTATGTTGTCACACTTTGTTCTATAAATTCTGGGCATGCACCCATTACTTCATCCTTTAAACTTTCTTTCCAAATAGCTTCAATCCAATCATGTCGTACAATATGAATCAGCCCAGCTGCTTTCTGGACACATAATTAAAATTAATATAATCTACAGTAAAACAATTTTCAAAAAATTTATAGTTGAAAAATAATTAAAATGAATTGAATGAAATAAGTCTGAACAACAAAATGTTGATCGTGATATACTGTTACATATAAGTAATTAAATGAAGTTTATGGCAATTGTGAATGATTGTTTTTTTAATTTCATCTTTAAAATATTGATACCAAAATAGTATCTTCTTAATTAAAGTTTTAAAAATACAAATTAGAAGAAGTATTTAATTTGTAAACATACACAATATTTTACACTGGTAACATTATTTGATATAAGGTGTGTTGTTTTGGTCTGCATATTATTTTCAAAGACACCACCCATCCACTGCACATAAGTAGCAATTTTATCCTAAAAGAAAGTCATAAGAATATATAATAGAATATATTATATAAAAAATATATAACACAACACAATAAACAAAAAATAGTTTTTATATACTTTCTGTTCTTTTGTAAAACCCGAAGTAGTTACGATGAGTCCAGTCATCGCTAGAGTATACAAAGGGTTAGTCCAAGGAGGGAGTTCTTTGTCCTGGGAGAGACATTGCATAAGACAACGCGTTCCAATGATTCTGCAAATAAATTATTTAAAAGTTTTTGGTGTTTGTTTTGTGTATATCGTGACTTAACAATTAATAACCATCTTTACTTACAGAGCCTTTGATCCTTTAAGATATTCAAAAGCTGAACCAGCAAATTCGTCAAATACGAATATATCAGTTTTTGTTAATTTTGCTTGATTAAGAATTGTACATTCCTTTTCACTAATCCACTCACATTCTAGATTACATTTTATAGAGCATTGCTGTTAAAAAAATAATGTATTGTTATTAATAATACTTGAAAAAGAGAAAACAATTAGAGGTTAACCATTATACGTACTTCGAACGCAACAACCATCATATGTTTTTCATCATATTTTTTTTGACGAACAAATTTAAAACTTAATTCAGACATATTTGTAACAAATATAATTAATTATAAGGTAAAAAAGTTCACCAAATCTTTATTATTTAAAATGTAGGTTTTAAAATAAAGACTGTTAACATCCTAAACAATGTTATACACACAAATCAGATTGTCAACCTGGTGTCAAATTTATGTCATGACATTTATCAGCGTTTTTAGTGTTGCCAGTATTGACGAATTAGATAAGATTATGAAGTTGCATCAAATAAAGATCTTTTCCAAAACAAATGTGAAATTCATTCATTTAATAAATAGTTATCGATATTATAGTGAAATATTTAATTTAATAATGATTGAAGAAACGGGAGATTGTGATTTTTTTTAAATCCAAAATGTTACAATGTTACAAATGTTAAATTTAAATTGAGACCAGTAAGACCAAGTAAGACCATTTTATGTTTAATAAATTTTAAGTTACAACAGCCGATGGAATGCTAAGAAAATTATTCTCCTAATATATTAATGTCATTAAAATCAAAATTCTTCATCTATGACAAAATTATTCAACAAAATCTCTATTTGGAAAAATGCTTTTTAGATACTAGTAGGTTGGTAGACAATGGCTGTTAGCCATAACATACAATAACTGACATGTTGAAGTACAATACTTTAAACATTTTCAAATTTAAACATTTTAGTATAAGTATTATTAATATAATCCCATTACAAAAATATTTAGCCATATACAAATTTAGTAATTTCTTGTATCGAATATCTAAACATGTTGAAAGAACATTGGCTGATTATAATACGAGAAATGAGTTGTAAAAAAAGAATGCAATTTCAGTGAAATTCAGAAATTCCAGAAGTTATCAAAACCAATATGGCAGATCACAAACACAGTGAGTAATAGTTAATAACAAATTGATATATTATTAATCTAGAAATATTTTATACTATTCATATATGTATCGATTTTATGCGATTTATACATATGTGAACCATAAGAATTAAATTTATAAATACAACTTTATCAGATAATTCAAATTACAAAACTTTGATAATAAACTCATTTTCTAAGATATGTTTATCATTTCGTCATGTTTTCAATTTTATGTCAGAAGTAATCAGTTTCATTTCTTGTTAAACATTAGAAATAATATAAAACTATAAAATATCTACCATGAAATAAATTTGACCAAATTTATAAAAATGTAAGTTATAATTTTATATAAATAATAAGTGTTCTTCACATGAAAGAATCAAGCAAAGAGTGCTCTTAAAATCTGTTTTTTTCAGAATATAGTGAATCTGGAATATTAGGGTAATTATTATAATTGTAATTAGAAGTGTAAAGTTTTTACAAAGTATACCAGGCTTGAATAGCCATGAAAAAATTTAGAATTTTTGTAAAATTGTAAAAACCGAACCATTTAAAGAGAAAATAGTATTTGTTCTATATTATAACAAACTTTGTATCCAATGTATAACAATAACGATTATTAGGCCTAAGAATATTTGAATTATTTGAATAAAAGCCATTAGTTTGGTACTAGCCTAACCAGGGAATGAAACACTGCTTAACAATAAAGTACATATATCAGTTTTTTACATAAAATTTCACTTTTAAGTCGCAGTGGAGACGTTTATTTAAGAAATGTGTTTTGAAACATATTGTACAATTCAAAATAAATGAAGTGCAAACATATTTGAGAGTGAGAATGGTTCTGTCTCCATATTTTAGAAGTCCTAATAATAGACTTTGCTTTGGTCAGTGTCGAGACCAGCCGGTGACATATTTAGATTTGAAGTAAATTTTCTGGTCTTTTCGTATTTTCTTATAAATACTTACATATATAATATATTAATAAAATCATGTATATATATGTGTGAGTGCTCTATGAGTCGATTCGTGAATAAAACGATATAGATTTTTAATTGATTTTTGATAATATTAAATCTGTATTTAGTATCCTCCATGCATTCACAACTATACTACTTGTATATTCTAAATAAGAGTGCATTTACATACTTCTAAATATTTGTATGCAGTAAACGTTGACGCATCTGATTATGTGCAAACAAAATAATACATAATTAAATTAGTCACTCGAAAATTATTCACATTCAAAGAGCAATAGTAATATTATAGCAATATAAAATGATTTATATCTTCTGATAATATTGTGATAAAGATTTGCGTCTATTCATGTATCATATCATTTAATTGCACAAATATTTAGGTATGTTTGCGTTATTCATATATTATCATATAGGTGGCAAGCTGTTAGAACACGTCGATTTATTGACAAGACCGTTACATACTCAAAAACATTCTAGCTGATGAAACATATTATGGACATTTAGATTGTAATAATGCCAATGCAAGTTGGCAAAATGAAAATGAAGTGATTGATCACCAATAAAAAGAAATTTTAATATTAAAGGATAATAAGCCTTTCAATAAAATGGATAGTAATCATGATAACAGTGATAATGGTGAGGAACATGTCAATCATCAAGTAAGTAATAATAATAATCTTTATATAGTTTATAACGCATAAATATAAATACTTTGTACAAAATGTAAGAGATCATAATTTTTTCTTCATTATTGTCTTTATTTTTTTAAATTTATTTTTATCCTTTTCATCTTGTACACTTTCTACTACTTTTTGAAACATTGTATGTATAGTATACTTATGGATTTATTTTTTCAAATTATTTTTTAATTTGAGAAATTTATTTCTAGCTTCTAGTTTGATATAATATTTACTAAGTTTATATTCATTATTTTTATTACACAACAATTTATTTTATTTCTTTTGTGTTCTTTTCTGATAAGCACTTGCTTGAAATAATGACACACATACAGGGTCGAAACATACAAAATACATATACAAGTATTTATAATTTATTCATTTTGACAACTTGGCTAAAAAAATCTATATACGCTTTTACTATCATTTAGTCGTAGTTTTCCAGTCTGGAGTAATGAATTTCTCCATATATTACTTCAGATATAATTTGTCTTCTTTGTTATTATTGCTGAATTAGAAATATTAATTAGAATTTTATATATTTTTGGGCTCACACTATTGGTTTGTGACTTTTCATTTTTTATTGCTTTTGGAAAATTCTATTTGTTTATTCTATGTTATAAGAATTCTTTATTGATTTCTATTGCAATATCTATTTTATCATATTTCTAAATACCAAAGCTCTTCATGATTCAGCAGTTAATTTTAAATTTAGTCCTCCTTTAATATAAATTAAATTTTCAATTGATTTTTAATAAATCTGATTTTATTTCTATTCACAATTCTTAATTATTTTATTGAATTTTTGCAGACTTATATCGTCATAGAATTTGCAAAAACAATTAGAAACAAAACTTTGTTATGGATTGTGGACAAAATTGTAGCAAAACGCCGACATGGAGGCGCTGAACTTTTGCTTAGGAAGCAGCCTCATGAACATGATCAGGTTTGACTTTTGACCTAACATTGAATTAGATCTAATAGATTATATAAAATTTTTACATTGCTATGAATATTTTTTTGAAGTTGATGGTGGATCTGCCTTATCAAAAAATATAATTCTCTTTCATATTTGCAAATATCCCATTGCAATATAATTTTTATTTTGTCTGTATGTATATGGACGTTATGTATTTAATAAAAGCGCTGATGTGAGAAAACAAACATAGAACGTTGATACATGTTTGATATAATATTTTAAGCAATTTCATTATGTCCAATGAAATTTGCATATATTATAGAAAATACTTTCAAATTATGTAAAGACATTATCATATATTTATTATCATTATTATTTATTATTACTATTAATTATCATTTATTATTATTTATTTATTTATTATCATTATCATTTATTTAGGGTATCATATTTCACATTTCGGCCTCCAAAATAAGGCTTTTAGAAGGTGCCGAAGAAATGGCGCTTCTTAAGCCCGATCTAGCTGGAAATATACGTGAATTTGATCTGGAACATATAGAAGACTTTCTTCCAGACAAGGCTGGTCCAGAACAATTACTTACTACATCAGAAATGCAAAGCATTGTTTGGCGAGAACTAATTAATATGAAAGCCCAGGCAGATGAAAAGTTGAGTCGATTCATATAATATTTAATTATTTATAATTAAATATTATAATAGTTATTAACTAGTACTAGTAATATAATATTTTTCATTTAAATTCAACTACGAAAACTTTTTTAAAAGAAAGTTGAATAATAGAATAATTTGAAACAAAAGAACAATAGAAAAATTTGAAACAAAAGAAATTGTTTGTTCTGATGTAGTAATCATTTATAATTAAATATGATAATAGTAATTAACTAGTATAAGTAATATAATATTTTTCATTTAAATTCAACTTCGAAAACTTTTTTAAAAGAAAGTTGAACAATAAAAAAATTTGAAACAAAAGAAATTGTAACTACATACATATAAAAAACAAAAGAAAACGTATTCAATTTAAACAAAAAATACTAATTAATCAATTTAAGAGAAACAAAATTGAAATTAATTATTGTCTGATTCTAATGAGTGCTTGATTGCTGTGATCTTAAAATTGGTTGAATGTTTGCTGAACACCTTTTCTTTGAAAATAAAATATTTTTTTTTGTCTTGTAACCACCTGTGCTACAATAATATAATAGTTTTAATTAGTAAGTACAGTTGCAGTAGTAGTTCTTCAGTACAAAATTCTTGGTTTGCCAGGCTAGCAAATCATTTATATCAGTTGCCTCCAATTTTTGATAATTTATGCTATTTTTCTGGTCCTAGATTCTAAAGGCAAAAACATTTAAATCAAAATCTTAAAATAATACCTACCTTGTAATTAGAAATAGCTAAACTAACATTGCATCAACATGCATTCATTGTCATTCCTCTGGATCATGATCAAAAAAGTAAATGGTCTATGATATCAGTTTGATATGCTGCCAAAATTAAACTCAATGTAATAACAATAAGTTTTAGCTAACTTTTATGGGATAAAAATTTTAATATATGTATTTAAAATTACATTTAATTCGAAATATCAGCAATTTATATGATTTAATTCGTCTATTAAATGATTTTTAATTTGTGCAGATTTAATTTATTTGAATATATTATTTGAATTTTGACTCTTATTCATATCATTTCAGGTCATTGCCAGGATACGCCGAGGTACAACTATATCATGGACAGTCAATAATACAATTGTTAGAAAATTTAGAATTAATAGAACGTATTCATCCATTACACGATAAAGAAAATTTAAAGAAGCTCGGGAAAGAATGGTATTGGGCATTACTGAAAAGGCAACCAATTGGTAAATTATTTTATATCATATCATATTTATGGTGAATAGTATTTGAAATTAATAGTTTAGCAAGTGGAATATTTATTAGAGCAATAGAGTTGCATACATTTCCAGGCTCATTTAATACTCATAACTGGCGCAATTTTTATTCATTTATAATAGTCAATCAGTATAATTCATACTTTTATTTTTTTCGCATGTTAAATTAATGTTCCTAATTATAATTATGATTTTTATCCTTTTTTAGCCGAAATCAGAGAGTATTTTGGAGAAGCTGTTGCCCTCTATTTCAATTTTTTGGGCTTTTACACTACTGCCTTAATAATACCAATGACTTTAGGATTTTTACAGCTGATTGTATCTCAAGAAACCCTGGCATTCTTTTGCGTTTTTAATGTTATTTGGGTCACTGTATTTTTAGAGGTAATTTATTTATTTTTAGTTAAAATATGTAATAATCATTCAAAAATAATTCTTGAAATAATTAAAGAAATTGAAACATATAATAAAACTAGAAGAAAATGTATACAAGTTTATTATAATATGCCAAAGGTTTATCAGTAACTAGCTACATCTCGATTTATATTAGCTAGATTTATATCTTTAAAAACTAATAACACCAATTGTTTGTTTGGTAAAATGAACGATATCATCGTTAAATTTTTTACCACTAACTTTATTTTAATTTTTCATGGTATGATCACTCATAAGAACAAAATAGTTGAGCAAATATAAAATCCGAAAGTCGAGACTTAGCTAATAGGCATAGATAAATTAAGAACATTTGGATTTATTTATTTCTTATTATTAGCTGTAATTAATTGATATGTATTTCTTACAACCTAGTTATGGAAAAGAAGATGTAGTGAGTTGGCTTTTAACTGGGGTACAATTAATATGACAAGTCTTGATGAACCACGTCCAAACTATCATGGAACAATGGGAATAGATGCTGTTAGTGGAAAAGTTCAGCCACAGTACCCCAGATGGAAAACTAATATGAAGGTAATATTATATTTATTAACTAAACTATTACAATGACCAAATAACGAAATATCTAGTGTTACAATTTATCTTGGGTCAAGGGTGTGACGCTTTCTGAGAGGTCAATTTTATAAAACTTTTATACATATTTTTAACTTTTTTATACATTTTTAACTTTCTTTCATACAATATATATATATATATATATATATATATATATATATATAAATATATATATATGAGCCGCTCAGTGCACACATCGATTAACTCCTATAAAACAAAAAGTTGAGAAACGCGATGATGTGTGCACTGAGCGGCTCATATATATATATAGATATATATATATATGACGCCTGTGGTTTAGATTAAATTTTTTGCATAATACATAAAATAATTTTAGAGCTGAAGTAAGCATTTAGTTCTTTTTAGAACTATTTATTTTACTATCTTATAAAAAAAGTACTTACAAAAAATTAAAGTTTTAGTGCCTATATTGATAATGTAGTAAATTAAATATGCATATACATGTTTCAAATAGTATAAAAATATTTTAGAAGTATATATATATATATATATATATATATATATATATATTAGGGTGGTCCTTAAAATGATCATTTTCGAATTTCCTTGCTCCCAGGGGCTCAAATGGTTCCAAATTGATAAAAAACAACCCTCTGAAAGTTTTAGCTCTTAATATTAACGTTTAGATAGAGCGCAATTCCATCAAAGTTTTGTATGGAAATAGCATGAAAATTTTTTCAAAAATTTAAAAAATGTTTTTTAGATGTAATTTAGCAAACAAATGAATGAATAAAACTCAATCATTTGTTGCTAAGTCATACCTAAAACATTTTTTTTTAATTTTCAAAATTTTTTCCATGCTCTTTCCATACAAACTTTGATGGAATTGCGCTCTATCTAAACGTTAATATTAAGAGCTAAAACTTTCAGAGAATTGTTTTTTATCAATTTGGAACCATTTGAGCCCCTGGGAGCAAGGAAATTCGAAAATGACCATTTTAAGGACCACCCTAATATATATATATTTACATAATACATAAAGAGAAATGAGTAAATTTTCTCATATCCAGAAACCTTACATTAATGAGAACACAAAAAAAATTTATATTTTGTTCAAACATTTTTACTCACGGATGATATATCTTAGGTTTATTTTTGTTTTTATGTTTTTTTAATGATAATCGGACTTGTAATCTAATCAAACACAAGAAATTGTGTCATACATGACAACGCTTATGAACCGATTAGAATGAAAAACATTCAACTCCTATTGATAAAGAGACGTGCTGACGTTTTTGGCCAAGGCAGGTCCAGCCATTTTGAAGATAGGGGGTGAAAAGTGCCAAAAATGGCAATTTATTTGTATTAACAAAATGAAAAACTGAATAAATTTTTGGGAAGGCGGGTTGAGCGATTTCGGAGATCCAACAAAAAAGTAAAAAAATGTCATTTGGGGGTCAAAAATGATCATCTACATAAGCACACCACATTTAAGCTTAAATTAGGTAAGAATCTCGGAATTCGAGATACCCACATGTAAGTCTGTAAATACTTGTATATTGACACTAAAAAGTTGTCTCAAAACCTACATATGGTAGGGTGTACCTACATATGGTAGGTACACCCTACAGAGTTACAGCTGGACTTTATTTATTATAGAAATTTTCAAAATAGCACAAATTTTATTTACATTTCTATGAGCTCTGTATCGAGATCTATAAGGCTACGCAGCGCGCTTGCTTTGAAAAATAAAAATTTTGAAAAAAAAATTTGAATACAAAAAAAAAAATAAAATTTTTCAAAAAATGGCCATTTTTCAAAAATTTCTAAATTATCAAAAATCTAAGTTGTTCAGTTTAAAGCTTTTAAAACGTTTAAATTACGGTACAGGAAGTTCCTGCAATTTGCTGAAATTAAATTAACACATATTTATTTCTGTAAATTTATTCACAGAATTAACAGAATTGACAAAATTACAGAATTAATTTAAAAGTATTAGAAGCTTTACTGAAGAAATTAGATTTTTGAGAATTTAGAAATTTTTGAAAAAATTGCCCTTTTGTGAAAATTTTGATTTTTTTTGCATTCAAAATTTTTTTTATAGAATATATTTTATGAAATATATTTATTTTCAATGTGACTATATATATATAGTCACATTAAAAAGTTTGAGAAACATTCACTTGAGAAACTCTGGTCGCACTTCCCGTGCTTTCAAGACATACTCACAGATACCACTAACGTGGTACGGTGCGTGATATCACATTGATCGCCGCACAATGCTGAACAGATATTGTTAGGCACCGTCAGTTGCCTCCGTTCGGCAAGATCATACTTCACAGGATCATTTCTGTAGTGTGTCTTCACAATCTCTTCACTCAAACGTGGAGTTGATGCGACCTCGACGATGAGTCGTAGCGTCGTACCCTGAGCGTGAGAAAGGCGTTCGAACTTCATTTGGAGTTTGATCGTCATCGATGACCGTTCGCCAAAACCCTCGTGGATTTTGGTTATGGGTGTGATGTTTTCTGAGAGGTCAATTTTATAAAACATTTTATACATTTTTAACTTTCTTTCGTAAATATATTATAGAACGTGTTTTTTATTTTATAATTTTTTTTATTTTATATTTTATATTATTTAAAGTATCAAACAAGTGGGCTTAAGGCAAATTCTTGTAATATATTCAAAATAGTAGATTTTTTGAGAATTTTGAATGTTTTTAGCATTTTGAAAAAAAAATGGTTAAACTTTTGATTTTTGAAAACTTTGTAATTTCTTGAAAGTTTTTGATACCCATTCATATCGGTTGATTAAAATTATAGACAATTTTCGACCGCCGATTGGCTTATACTTAGACAAATATAAATTGCTTTTTATGAAATTTGAGGATCTCAAATAATTTGACATATTAAGTATTAAATTTCGTTAAATTGTTATATGTATTATGTAGAAATGGTAGAAACTCCGTTTGGCCCTTGGCCAATTGTCGCCGAATATATATATATTACACACTATAGGCGGGCCCCGTAAAATTACGCTCTGCGAGGACTGTTGCTTATCGGCGGGCAAGGTATTATTACGCTTTGAATAGACTAACTTTAAAAGCGAGTCAAAATACTTTTATCTGATCGGTTTGCATATGATATTGAAAGAATAGCTGATACTTTTCTCTAGATTCAATTGATTTACGTATTGAAAGACTTTTAGAATAAGAATAAAGACAAGAAACAATATGTTTTATCCTCAAGTTTCTTTTCATTCAAGCTACTCGCAATTTGTTTTGTAGATAAATATGCAGAATTTACAACAATAAAAAGGTGTTCAATATATATTTTATCAAATATTTTAGTTATTAGTCAGATTTGTATAGTTCAACTCTTTTTTACATTGTTATTTGCAATAATGAAATAATGGCATCGGATAGCAATAGAAAAGTTTGCGCCAATAATTTATCACACATTGGAAGTGATTTTTATATTACTAGTATTTCATCCCAGAAGACGTAGAGTTTTACCGATTATTTCCAGAGAAATAATAACAATGAAATAATGACAATGAAGAAGTGGAGTGGAATTTGACAATCCTCCAATTATTGAATCATTTTCAGGTCAATGTTGCGTTGTTTTGAAACCAAATAGTTTAATTGAAGTGGTTCAGCTATTTTTGCTATTCGGGTCCCAGCACCTCTTCATAAGGGGTGATTTTTTCCATAAATTTCACGTATGTAAAAAGTGGTTTATATATCTACTGTACGTTAAATTTTTAACTTTCCGTAGGTTAGTTTTAACTAACCTGTATATAGTAATGGGCGGAAAATCAAGAATGAAAATTTTTCCATTTTTCTACGGTTTTTAGGGTCTGAACTATTTGGCATACCTCAGAAAAAATAGATGTCTGTGTTTTTGGTGGCCGCATTTTTTCGTTCACGTTTTCGGGCGCGCGGATCAACCGATTTGAATGGTTCAAAAAACATTCGATTCCTATTGATAGGGAGATGTGCTCATTAGTTTTTGGCAATCGCAGGTCCAGCCGTTACGGAGATACAGAGCAAAAAGTGCAGAAAATAGAAATCGAGTTTTTGAGAGAACGGAGCATCCGATTTGAATGATCTAAAAAACATTAAATTAGTAATGATTGGGAGAAGTGATGATTAGTTTTTGGCAAAGGCAGGTTCAGCCATTTCAAAGATACGGAGCTAAATGTACACAAAATGGCAGTTTTTGAGAGAAACAAGCATACGAATTGATTGATTCAAAAAGCATTCTGATTGTGTTGACATAACAATTGCTTTAGGAAAAAAATATTTCATTCAATACTCAATATTCCTCGAACATCTCGTTATGGTACAGGAAGTTTCAGCAATTTGCCTTAAGGCACGATGCCATACGCCACTAGTTTTTGTTAGTTTTATGTTTAATTATGCATTAATTAAATAATTTTTTTATAGTTCAAAACAACCAGACGTTTTTTTTTAAAAAAAAGAGTTATAAAAAAATATGTTCAATGTGACAGGCAGTTGTGTTCATGCGAGGCGACGGAAAGAGCACTCGTGCCGAGCAAGCGATTTGCCCGCTACACATATCAGTTTGGTCTGACGAGTATTTTTACGGGGCCCGCCTATAGTGTACTATACTCATGAAAAACATATAATATAGCATTATATGTTTTATTGTAGGAAATTTGTGTGTTTCTCAAATAATTTGATATTAGTATTATATTCCATTAAATTGTTATTTATTTGATGTATAATAACTAAGGTGACCATACGTCCCCGGATTTCCATTTTGTCGCGAGTTTTTTAAAAGCATTATTTGTACCAGATTTAGATCTTTATTCCCGGATTGTCCTGGTTTTTCGAAAATGAACAGGCAAATTAACAAAAATTATGAAAACAAACGAACTATTTCTATTAGTTTCTATTAAGTGCTATTTTTTTCAAATTAATTAATAATATTATTGAATATTATACATAATAATTTTATACAAGCGTAAAAAATAGAGATCGATATAAGACAATAAAATATCATAGATAAAAAAGCATTGCATATAATCGAATAATGAAGTTCTTACTGGAAGTCCGCAATTCTTATTAAAAAAGATTCATATCAAAAACTATTTTTTATTGTGTTTGGTAATTTGGTTTAATTAATTAATTGGTAATCATATACCTACAAAATGCATTTTATAGACTTTTAGAATAATGAGAAATACATAGAGTGTTAAATCAGAAAAATATCGAAAAACCCAATTTGCAAATTACTGAATTAAATATTTCCAATTATTTTAAATCCTTCGATATGAAACCATATTAATAACCACAATAATAAATAAAAATAGGAAAAGATGTGAGTGTATAATTGTAATTCTAGTTATCGAAAACGGAATACACCAATTTTAGGACTTTAAAAGTGATTTGATAAATCATAATTGATGTATACATATATAAAAGTTTATATATATATATATATATATATATATATTGTTTAAATTATTTTTGCATAATGATCGAGTTTGATTATTTTTTTACTTATTATTTTAATTATTTCAATTATTTGCATAAATAAATCATCAACCACTTGCATTACTTTTATTTTATAACCTCTTTTTTTCAATGTTTTACAGCAATATGGTTTATAAACACTTCTTCATGTTTTATATAATTTTAACTATGATATTTTATTTAATGCTCTTTAAATATTAATTTTTAAATATTTTTACTTTGCACATTAGTGTCTGAAAGGTCTATTTTACTTATAAATGTATTTTGATACTAATGCATGATATTTATCATAATAATAACATATGTTATTTATTCGTAAATAATAGTTAAATAATAATTGTCGACTATATTTAGTTATAAAAGATTAATTATAGTGGTCAATTATATATTTCTCAATAAAATGTTAGTATATTTTTTATTTCTCAAGATTAAATTACAATCTGTTTTTCAATATCAAAAACATTTAATAATTATAATGACTAAAAGTTAAACAAAAATAGAAATTACTGATTACCCAAGAGTCAACATTTTAAAAAAAATTTCAGTTATATTGTGTTTCCTTGCCTATCGTGATACTCTGCCTTCTTGGTGCTTTCTGGGTAATGTTGCTGTCCTTCTGGTTTGAAGATACATTAAGAACCCAACAGACGGATTCTACTGGTTTTGGTGCTTATGTTATTTTACTACCCGGTATTGTTTATACAGGAATTGTTTACATCAGCAACCTGTACTACAGGAAGATTGCGACGCAACTTACAGAATGGGGTAATGCATAATAAATGCTAATGATACATAAATGATAAATCTTTACTTATTTGTGCACAATTAGTGTTAGAACAAAATATCGAGTACTGAGTAAATATCGATACTTTGCGGTCGATAGTGAGTACTTTTGCCATCGATTTTTTAGCTCGATCTATTTTCCAATATCGATTCTTTTCGTCGATAGTACTCAAAAAGAATCGACAACGTAATCTATGAACACCACTCATCGACCAACTATTAACACCACTCATTGCAAATGCAATACAATAGTCTCTCTAGGTGGTCGTAGCTGTTCAAAGAATTGTCCAAAAACGATCCCTCAGGGTCATCAGTCTCAAAAACCCAAAATGAATATGACCACACTAATAAATAAAGATGTTTATTTATTACTCTGTAAAATGAAACGGATTTTAAAGTACCTTAAATGTTTTATAAAAACATATTCAACAAATAAAGTATGATTATTTCAAATAATAATATTCATCAATTTCAATATATTAGTATTTTGCGTTTACTATATTTTAATTCTTTTTTACGCAAAATACTAATACATAGAAATTGATGAATATTATTATTTGAAATAATTATATTTCGTTTTTTTACGCAAAATACTAATATATAGAAATTGATGAATATTATTATTTGAAATAATTATATTTCGATTCTTTTTTACGCAAAATACTAATATATATAGAAATTGATGAATATTATTATTTGAAATAATTATATTTCGATTCTTTTTTAACGCAAAATACTCATGTTTTGAAATTTTTGAATTTCAACATGCAAACATATGGGTTTGAGTTTCTCGGAACCATTTAAACTTTAAATCCCATCGCTCCGAAGAGATGCTTCTCTACAAGTGTCGAAGATAATATATCTTGACCGTCATTTAACTGAATGCTTTCCAAAGAGGTTTTTTAAAGTTGCTAAAATTATTCATACAAAAATATTCAACAATTATAAAATATTATTTTACTTAAAAATATTAAAAATATTATTGTGCTTAAAAATACTTAAAAAGTATTGCTTTTTGAATATAGTATCAGACTATTATATTGTTTTAATCAAAAATACTCAACTATTATAACTTATCTTTTTTTTGAAAAATTATAGAATTTGAAAGTAGTATTGAAAAATTGCTGTTAAAATTTTACAATATTGAAAATGATTCTGATTTAACACATCAGATACAAGCAATAGAATTCATTCTAATATTGTGATATGATATTTAACGAGTTTTAGATCTTTCTTGCATTTATGTTTGATTTTTATGAAAAGTACTCAAAATTCGATATTGAGTACTATCGATACTTTCGCCACGATATTTTTTTGGCATCGATATTTTGATTAGATACTTTTCAAAGTACTCAATATCGATCTTTTGCCTCGATACTTCTAACACTATGCACAATACGACTCACAATACTATTGAATTAGCTAAACAAATAAAATTTAACATATTTATGGTTTCACTTTCAACAATTGAACTTTATTATTTACCTTTTTTATAAAAATTGCTTACAAAATTTAGAATTTATTTATTAAGAAAATCACAGGACTCAGTCCCAGTTCGATCGACACCGAGTATTAAAATTGATGCTGTTTGAGTTCATCAACAATTTTATGTCTTTGTTCTACATCGCGTTCTGGTTGAGAGATTTGGATTTGCTTCGGCAGCAATTAGCTACCATGTTAATTATTCTGCAAGCGTTCAGTCACTTGGAAGAAGCTGCTTTACCGCTCACGTTTAGATGGTGCCATCATAAGGTAATAAATAATAGATTGATTTAACAGTTTTTTGGATGTTTTTTGGTAATTTCAATGTCATTCTTACAGATATCGGATCTTATAAACTGGCAAGCAAGTAAATACGTATCTTTGAAAACAAAAGAGGAAATTATACCATTATTACCAGGTGTGGAAGAATTGCAAAGTGATGATCCTGTTGTACAACAGGCAAACGAAGAAGGTACATGTGAATTATAATTTACCTTATTTTAGACTATGGGATATTTTAGACTATGGGATAATATCGGAATTTTTTTTCAAAATTAAGTTATCCGAAAATACTACACAACTTATATTGCTTATTTTTTTAGTTTTACAAGCTGTTATGAACGATGCCTATTTATAAATTTATTATTTTTACAAATGCTATTAGTAATTAGGCAGTCCAATGATTGTTCTTACTAATTGTTTTTGAGATTAATATTACATTTACTTTACAATTATGAAAATATGTTTTGGAACAAAAATAATTTTAAACTGATTTTCCAATTTTTATGTTTGGAATTTTATTAACACTATATCAGTCGAATTTTTTACTGGGTTCGTTATGAATCTATTTAAGTTTACTATTATACGTTACCAATATGATAAGATAAGAACTCTTTAAAGTAAATATGATAAATGCTTTTCAGGTTATCGCCATTCGATATTTTTCAATATTCTCACATATAACCAACACAACTAAACTGCAATTTTAATTACAATAAAGTCTACAATTGAGACTTTTACCAATAGTAACATTTTGCAAAATTTAGTCCTTAAGGGGGTATTCTAGTGTAGAAATTCAAAAAAATCAATTTTTTTTTATTTTATATTTTCAAAGTTTAACTATCTAAGAATATAGGTACAAGAAGGTTTTTGAAAATTTGAATTATTTTCGGAGATATAGGCATTTTCCTGACTCGGTCTTCATACTGGTTTTGGTTTCACGCAAAACTTTAAATGCGTTTTTCTCAGAACAGACTTTTTCAGTACTGTTGACACGATTTCTCAAGTTTTAATCGACCGATTCAATTGAAATGTTCACAGAGTCTTGTTTATAAACCTATTTACAGCCTAAACATGGATTATCCAAATTCCAATTTTTACTATTTTTAAAAAAATCGAGGAACTCAAAAAACAGTAAAAAAAACATTTTTTTTCCAACAGTCGTTAATTTGTAAAAAAAAAAAAATATTTTTACTCATCGCTAGTTCGGGCGATTGCGACATCATTGTAGATTAATAATACTTTTCTTTTTTGCATTTCCGATGGCTGAGAGGGCTGAAATCATGTCAAGACTGAAGTACCAATTTTTTGAGACCACCCACTTCATCAGCTGCCAGTTTTTACAATTTTCAACTTTTTTACTTTTTAACTTTTGTTTTGTATTTTAATAATATTAATAAACAAGTCGTAAAAATGGATAGTAAAATCATTCATTGCTTTCTTTTACGACACTTTAAAAATGTCCTTTAAAAACCACCCACTTCATCAGCCGCCAGTTTTTACAATTCTCAACTTTTTTACTTTTGTTTTGTATTTTAATAATATTAATAAACAAGTGGTAAAAAAATGGATAGTAAAAACATTCATTGCTTTCTTTTACGACACTTTAAAAATGTCCTAAAATTCATCGCTCTACACTAGAATACCCCCTTGACAATATTATTATACTTGACCTCAGATTGAAATTTACATAATACAAAAAATTATCTAGTGATATATCATGCTGTTGATTTAACGAATATGTATTTTGTTATAGGGGAAATGGATGATTACACAGGAACATATGATGATTACTTAGAATTGTTCGTCCAATTTGGTTACGTTGTACTATTTTCCTCCGCATATCCTTTGGCCGCCTTCTGGGCAGTCGTCAATAATGTGCTCGAAATTAGGGCAGATGCCTTCAAACTTTGCACAGTATTCAGAAGACCGATGGCAAAAAGAGTTAAAGACATTGGTGCATGGCAGGTGATAAAAGAAATACTAATTGTAAAAAATACTATAACAATAGTATAGTAGAAATATGAAATCATGAAATAATACAATATATATTAATATATTATTATTACTGCGATGTACAATATATTACACATACGTAACAGCAATATACGGTATGGAATACAATGAGTTCATAAATATATTTTTCTTTATATACATAAATGGCTAATGACCGTATCCATACAAACCGAGCGTCAATACATATTATTATGACTCCTCTGTTTCATGATGTCATCGTATTTTTAAATTGCTTTCTAAATAAGTAGATGTATCTAATGCAGCATCTATTTTTGTACAAACCACAAAGTATATGAAACGGTTGCTCATAACGTTTAATTGGAATATTATACGTGTATATATATACGTGTATATATATATATATATATATATATATATATATATTATATATATTTCAAATTTATGTGTAAAATAAATTTTTTTTATTACAAAAATTCATTTCTTACAGGTGGCGTTTGAGGCTTTAGGTGCAATTTCTATTGTAACAAATTGTGGGCTTCTTTGTATATCACCACAGGTATGTTTCACAGAAACGTGAGTAATTTTACTTCAAATGTAAATTCAATAAAGCATTTCATTGTTGCTAAATAATTATCAGAAGTGAGACTTCTATACACTCATCAGTACTAGACTATAGCCATATTTATATTTGTTTATCTATGACTATAGCAAAAGCTTTATCTATTACATAAAATAAAGAATATTAAATAATAATATATATTACAGAGATTAGAGAATATTGAATAATAATATCTATTACAGAGAATATAAATATTAATTAATAATAATGATAATAATAAAGTTGATATAGATATTGATATCATGGTTAAAAATAACTATGATTCGATATCGATAGTGATAACATTAGCGCCAATATCAAGGTAACTACTGGTTTACATAATAATAATAAAATTTTACTGCGCTCGTGTTAAAAATAAATACAATATAAATGCACATATAAAGAAAATTTTGTTACAATAAATACTCAAGAGTTATTGATACAATAGGTTCATTCTTTTACAAATCGTACGGATTTGGGGAAAAATAAAATGTCACATTTTAAAATTGTCTGAATTTTTTTTCAGATATTATACAAAAAATCATTTGACACGTATTTCAGGATTTTGCTGAATTTTATGTTACTTCAACAAAATGATGTTACAGATATTTTTTCACTGTCTTTGAACAGCATATAAAATCAGATCAAAGAGTTCTTTAATATAGCTCTATAAGTTGCTTCTTCTCAAACACGTCACTTTCTAGAAGGCAACCTATAGGTTGTCCCATCTATTTGACTTATTTATATAACGTATTACAAGGCAACCCAATGGGTTCACTATATTTTAAGATATTGCATCAATTCACATGGCCGGAGCAAGCTATTTTCACGTGGTAACATATTAGGATCTATATTTTTAAGTAAAAGTAAATATCACTACTACGTAATATCAGGCTGTCCGAAATGCAAATTTGAACCTGCTACTCGTGATTTTCAAAGCAGGACGCGTACCAGGACCTAATATGAATTAAAAATTAAAAATCACAAATACGAGCGTTCAGATTTTTTAAGGGATTGTTTAAATATATGGATATGGGTGAATACGCCTTCCTCAAAAGTACCTACATTTAATCAAAGAATATACTGCATCCAATTATATCATCTGTTGTGCTTACGGTTTGTAAGATCCTGAAAGATAGATAAATTAAGGAAAATTAAAATCAACATCAATTAATAGATTATTACATTAACAAATTCATGTTCTACACATTTCCGATAATAAAGCTACACCCACTTTTACTGTTCGGGTGCGATAAACAGAAATGCTGTTTAATAAAAGCCATTCTTATCGTTTTTATTGTTCTACAGATGGCACGTATTCGCACAGGTCTAAATATGAGCCCAGTCGAATGGTTGTTATTTTTCGTGGGCTTGGAACATTGTTTACTGGGAATCAAACACATTTTGCACCGAGCCATTCCTGACAAACCAGAGTGGGTGCGAGTGGCGTTGGCTAAACGACAGTACGAATCCCAAAGAGCACTAAAAAATGAGGTAATAAAAAAAATGTTATAGTTATTTTCCAAATGAGACAATACTTCATTATTAACTTTCCTTAGAGTCCATTAATCACTTGAGGTTTTTAGGGAAAGTGGGGTGGGGGGGTAGGTTGACAAAAAGTCACAAAATATCACGTGGAGGAGGGAGGGTCTTGTAAGATTTTTAACCTGAATTTAAAAAAAAAATTCAAACATTTTCAAAAAAAATTAAAAAAATTACAATTATTTCTCGTAACTAAAAATACACGTGTAGACAAAATACAGGTTGAGGAGGGGGGTTAATCTTATTATTAAATAATACCACGTATCAATAGTATTATTATTAAATAATACCACGTATCACTAAGTTGGAGGGTAAACCAAAAATCCTTAAGAATTGATCACGTGATTAATGGACGCCCCCTAATCGCAAAAAATCGAAAATGACCAATTTCGTATATTTTTACATTTCCTCAGAACATTTTCGCATACATTAGAAAATATTGATATATATGTGTATGTGTGTGTGTGTGAATATGTATGTGTGTATATGTATGTGTGTATGTGTGTATGTATATGCGAATACAATTTCTCGCCGACGATTTCGAGAACAAGGATTAACCGATTTGAATGATTAAAAAAACATTTGATTCATATTGATAAGTAGACGTGCTGATTAGTAAAAAAAAGTGCCAAAAATGGTAAATCAGCTTTTGAAATAACACAAAAAAACCTTTTACTATGAAGAACTGATTAAATTTTTTGGAAGGTAGGTTTAGGGGTTTCGGAAATCTAATAAAAAAGTATAACAAAATTCCATTTTGTGGTCGCGTGCAGACTTTTCCTTTCCATTATTAACATTTTCTTTGTTATATCAGTTAAAACGCTGAACCACGATCAAAAACTTGTGTGAATATCAAAACACGCACATGCTAAATTTTATTTTATAACAGAAAATTAATAATATCATAATGATAAATGATACATAAATGCAAATTAGGCAATTTCAAACTGGATCCTCAATTATTACAGAGACGTCAGAAATCGCAAAGAATTTTAACGCGACGTTTCAAGACCGTACATGGCAGACCAGGTCAAAAGCACAAAAATGACTTTCAATAAAGTATTTGTAGAGTATGTAGAACTATTGTTGTTATTTATTTATGAAGTTAAATTATTTTCTCATAAAATATAAAATTGTTAAAATGTTGATAATCGTTTTATTAATTTACAGTACAAGCACTATAATGGATCATTCACATGTACAAAAATATTTCATATGTATAATGGAAATTTTGGAATATTGCAGCAAATGTACATTTTATATTAAGGGGCCGTTCAAGTATTACGTAAGCACTATAGGGGGCGGGAGGGTTATTGATTTGCTTATTTTGCTTATTTTGGGTAAGAAATTTGCTTAATTTTGCTGACAAAGGGAAGGGGGGGGGGTAAATAATTGTAATAAATCTGCTTACGTAACACTTGAACGATCCCTAACCAGAAATTTTTAAATTTATATCTTTGGTTTTATGTTGATTTCGTCGACAACTGGATTTGCACTATCGTCGGGCTGGTCCAAACAGCAGGAGTGGCAGCATTCTTTTGGATCAATTTGCAAATCCTTGGACTCATTTTCTGGCAAAATAGGTGCACTTTGCACAGAGAGGACATTCTAGATAAAAACGGTATGAATATTGATATTAATTATTTATTATCAATTGCAATATATTTTCAGTATGTTTTATGAAACCTACAAATATTCTCAGTATGTTTTATGAAACCTACAAATAATGCCTCAGGTTTAGATTATATTTGTAGATTTAAACAAAGGGCATTAAAATTATTCTTTCCGCAATTAAACGATGAAATAACCGTGAAAAGCATTTATTTCATTCTGCATAAAGAGGTATATTATTAATTACAAATGCAATTTTGAAACCGATATATAGATCCTTATGGAGATTATTTATTACATTATTAATTCATGGTAAAAAATTATATTTTTTTCAAAATATTGCTTTTATATTGTATGATAATTTTTCAAATCGACATAGACACAACTCTTGTATCATGAATGAAAAAATATTAAAACCTCGTATGGAATTATTTCAAATAAGCATGCTTCATAAAAAGCAAATATTGTTATTACACGTTTTCAAAAATTGCAGTAGATAATTCTGTTCCCAGTATTCAAAATGCAGATTTCAATGTAATTTATATAAAAATATAATAAGTATTACAAATTTTTATTTATAAAATATATAAAATTTTAATTAGCACTTTAAAGATTAAGAAAAAATTATTAAAAATCATTTCAAGACAAATATTTTTTTAACTATTATTTTTTTTACTAACTTACCAATACAAGTCCGATGACTACAAGATACACAATGAGTTTCATTTTTACAAAATTAGTATTGAACAGTTAGAAATTTCAAATTATAAGAGTGTTCTCAATTGAAGCACTGATTTGTACTATTGCCAGTTTCAAATCCGATTTGATATATATACCTTCATATTGGCCCGCTGTTTTGAAAGTATTTCTCTAGTTAAAAAAACAATTATTAATTACCTTAGGACTAACTATAAACAAAAAACAAAATAATTCATCTATAACGAAAATTATTGATAACGAAATATAATTATATCACATGTGGAATGTTATCAAGAAATTTATTTTCAAATGTTGTTTAGAAATAATGATCGTTATCAAATATCAACATTGCCCAAGATTTTCTTCATCGGCGTCACTAAATATTCATATCGGTATAAAAGGCCTAAGAACATGAACGAATTTAATTAGTGTGCTGTAGGCATCAGTTCAAATATAATTAAAAGCTAAAACCAAATCAAGTAAAGCAAGTATGAAGCTGTCTTTTGTTCTTTTCTTTTTTACCATCTTATTGGTAAGTAAAAGTTGACTATTTTGAATAGTAGTTCAAGAAATCCTAGTTCAACTTTCAACATTATCCTAATTCCCTTGCAAGTTGTTACCAATTAGTAAAAAGTCCTAATCCTTCCTTCTACATTAATTGGTGAAGTATCCTTATTTCCCGATTTGTTCTCAAATCATCACTAACCACTAAGTTCACATCAATCATTTAACACTATTTGTTAAAGCAAATTATTTTTTCAACTTCATCTCAAATTATCACAACTTACCAAGAAGTTCTGATCTATATTTTCACACTAATTGATAAAGTATCCTCATCTCCGTTTGCTTTCAAATCATCAGAAATGATCAAGAAGAAGGTCATTGAAGATTTTTTAGCACCTTATTGTTTTATTTCGTCTTAAATCATCATCTATTATCAAGAAGTTCTATTCAATCATTTATCATTGATTGGTAAAATATCCATATTTCTCAATTAATTCTCAAATTATCACCAATGATCAAGAAGTCCTCATCTATCTTTTAACTTCATTTGATGAATATCCTCATTTTTCCATTTTTTCTCAAATAATCACCAATTATGAAGAAATCCTTTCTTCGTGTTTTATTAATAATTAATTGATTAAGTAACCTTATTTCCTAATTTTGTTTGAAATTATCAACTGGTCATGAGATTCCATATATTAACTAGACTGATTAATTTTAATATTATATTTTTATTTAGGCAGTAATTAACCATCAATATCTCATTCATAAATAGCAGGGAAGAAAGACTATTATTCAATTTAGAAATGCAATAAATAACATTAATTATTTTCTGGAAATTATATCTTTTTGAAAATGGTTAATGGTTAATAATATATCAAATATTTTGTTCACTGTTAAAATTTAATGTAATTTATTTAATTAATTAATTATTAATTAATTCTCTTTGGGTTGATGAGATCTTATCTAACTCTACTACAACTACCATGGTTTGGCAATATATTTTTAATTGAATTAAATTAAAGTAAATTAATTGATGGTACTTAATTATTGATTGATTATTCTTCATCATAGGGAGCTTTGATGGTCCACAGTGCACCAATTGCTAACCAGGATCTCCAAGGCGGATCAGTTGATCCCAAAGAATGCTGCCACTCCTGCTGCTTAGAAGGAAATGATGATACTGCCAATGATCAACCTATTGATGATGATCTGAAGATATAAGTAAAATCTGGACGGAACAATCACTTTCATTTGAGTTATAATGGAGCACGAATGTTTAACTTATTGTCTATGATATTGATGATGTAATAAATAAATATAATGCAATAGATCTCATTCAAATTATGCGTTTTTTAATTTTGGTTCAAAAAATATGTATATAGAATAATTCCGTAGTTGATAATACAGCTATTTTTTTGGTTTTAAACTTAAGTATCAAACTATGTAGAATGGCTTAAAACAAAGTTTATATCTCTTTTATTTCTATTATTAATTCTACTGCTAGGAGCATAACATATAACATAACTTGAATCTTTAAAAATGATTCAAGTGTGAAATTGATCATATCTAACAATAGTAAGTATTTTGACCTTTGATTTTGTAAGACACTGTGCGTTATTTACTCAAGGTCTCTTAGCGGTAGAATCTGAATTAAATAATTCTGATTGGATTAACTTATATAACATTTTACAAAATATTATAAAAGTATTAAAATATGCTATACTATATTAGCGGTATTAGTATTATTTTAATAGAACCTCAGGCAAATTGCCAAAACCTTTATCTCAAACTAGAATTATATTGCAAAAAGTCATACATTACTTCTGAAACTTTTTTTTTGATAATTTTGGAAAATTTAAAAGTCACCAAATTTTTGCTGAGAATTTAAAATAAATATAATGGTCGAGAAATCGATTTTTTGTAAAGAAAGATATAATTTTAAATTATATTAAAATAAAAAAGTGATATTGTAAAAAAATGAATGAATCTGAACTTTATATATATGGGATATACTGGAAATTATTTTATAAGTAAATTTAGAGTTTTTAATTTCTGTATCATTAAATATATGATTTAAAATGAATAAATTTGTGTGAATTTTAAAAGTAAATTACAAATATTTTTGTATAGTGAAACAGACCTATTTTTTTTTAAAAAAAAGGATAAGATGTTTTAACCATTAAATTAATTTTTTTACATCTTGAAACCTCTCAATTATGTAAAATATCAAAGTTCACAAGTTTATAATATATAAATTAATAAGAATTTTGATATACAACTAATACAAAATTTATAATAGTCTAAAGATTGATTTTTTCAAAAAAATGTATAATTTTGAAAATTGGAAATATAGAAATTATTTACAAATTTAGAAAAATTAAAAAAAGTAAGATTGTAAAAAATAATAATTATGAACTTTTTATATATCGGACATACTGAAAATTATTTGGAAGGTAAATTTAGAATTTTTAATGTCACAGAGTATTTGATGTAATGTGTATAATTAAATATTATAATTGAAATAAATAAATTTGAGTGAATTTCATAAGTAAATTATAATTATTTTTATATACTGAAACGTACCTATTTTTTTTTTACAAAAACCATAAGATCTTTTTTACATCTTGAAACCCTAAATTATGTAAAATATCAATATTAATAAACATTTTGATATTACATACTCAAACTGATGATACAAAACCAAAAATACGGGAAAATAATATATATTTATAATATATTAATATATACTACAAATTATATATAATTATAAAATATATTTTATAAGTAAATTTTTAATTTTCAATGTCACAGAGTATTTTATGTAATGTGGATAATTAAAAATATGCATTGAAATAAATAAATTTGTGTAAATTTTATTGGTAAAATAAAAATATATGATATAATACTGATATACTGATATAACAGACCTACTTTTTTTAAAAAAAACGATAAGATATTTTGGCTATAAAATGAAAATTTTCACATCTAGGAACATCTCAATTATGTAAAATATCAATATTTACTTTACAAGTTGCAAATATATAATTAATGAGAATTTCAATACTACAACTAAGATTTTGATACAAAATCTAAAAATTCGATAAAAATATAAAAAATTATTATATAATAATATATAAATTTATTATGATATATAATTATAATATAATTACTATATAATCAAAATATAAAATCATTATTAATTATAATGTAATTATTAAATACAAATTGCAAAAATCTGATGATTTTCTGAGGATCCCATTTAGGTTTTGTCCAGTAACTTTGAAATAACTGCTTTACTAAAGTAATGTGTTCTACCAGAATCACACAAAATTTATTAAATTGTTTTTATTTTAAATCCAAATCAGTTTAACATAATTTGTTAAAATTTTCAAAATGTCGGAAATAACATGTTTGTAACTTTCGCGTGTCGGAAATAACATGTTTCTAACGATCATGTGGTCTATAATAAATAATTTATATTAAAAACTTTTGATATGCAGTATATAATAATATTAAATAAATATTAAATATATTTACATGTTTCAAAGTCTATTTATTTCGTTCGATTCGAAGCGCAAAAACGCGTCGATGTATACGCGCACGTATCTCCCGCCACTAGTTGAATTCAGCTTTTAATGTTGGTACGTCGTGCAAGGCGTTGCCGGCGGCTTAATTTGCGTCACTTTTGGTCCATCTGACTCATTCATCGTTCATTTGCAAAGCAAATCGCAAACGAGTTTCAGAGCACAGCGGCTGCGCATCTGTTAAGCTCAACGGCTATAGTTTTTCAGTATTATAATTTGTATTAAGTCGAAGTAAATAACAAACATGAGGGAAATTGTACACATTCAAACCGGACAGTGCGGAAACCAAATTGGAGCTAAGGTAGGAAAATTTTTATATTATTTTTTATGTCGTACCAAGGCCGTAGGTAACTGACATCATCTTATGAAGTACTGTTATAAGTGTACACGTATGTTACAACAATTCATTTTCGTCGCTTGGTATCAAAATATTTTATTATTTACTGATGTTTAAACTTAATTTGCTTGTTCAAAAGTTTGTATTCAAACTGTATTTTTTTGACATTTTCTGGATTTTAAATCTCAATTGTTTTTTGTTTATTATTTGATTAGCACCATTAAGATAACCTATGAAATTATGACTAGTGTTTTATTTTCAAGGCCTTCACATATTATTAACAATTATTTTCAATGAGCACATAATTAAAGTAGCCACTATTGTCCACAAAATAATTAGTCCTTGAAAAAATTCTCAGAACATTAAAAATCAATTACTGATTATTTTATAGTTCTGGGAGATCATTTCTGATGAACATGGAATTGACCCAACTGGAGCTTATCTTGGAGATCATGAACTTCAATTAGAACGTATCAATGTTTATTACAATGAGGCTTCTGGTGGAAAATATGTTCCACGTGCCATTCTTGTGGATTTGGAACCTGGAACCATGGACTCCGTGCGTTCTGGACCATACGGTCAAATTTTTAGGCCAGACAATTTTGTTTTTGGACAAAGTGGTGCTGGTAACAACTGGGCTAAGGGACATTATACTGAAGGTGCTGAACTAGTCGACTCTGTTTTGGATGTTGTGCGTAAAGAAGCTGAATCTTGTGATTGTCTGCAAGGTTTCCAACTAACCCATTCTTTGGGTGGTGGTACTGGCTCTGGTATGGGAACACTATTGATTTCTAAGATTCGAGAGGAATACCCTGATAGGATAATGAATACTTACTCAGTTGTACCTTCACCTAAAGTATCAGACACTGTTGTAGAACCTTATAATGCCACCTTATCAGTACATCAATTAGTTGAAAACACTGATGAAACCTATTGTATTGATAACGAAGCATTGTATGATATTTGTTTCAGAACATTGAAACTTAGCACTCCAACATACGGAGACTTGAATCATTTAGTTTCTCTTACCATGTCTGGTGTCACCACCTGCCTTCGTTTCCCTGGTCAACTTAATGCTGATTTGAGAAAATTAGCTGTAAACATGGTTCCATTCCCACGTTTACATTTCTTCATGCCTGGCTTTGCACCGTTGACGGCAAGAGGTAGCCAGCAATATAGAGCCTTAACTGTACCTGAACTTACCCAACAAATGTTTGACGCCAAGAACATGATGGCTGCTTGTGATCCACGCCACGGAAGGTACTTGACTGTAGCCGCTGTGTTCAGAGGACGTATGTCAATGAAGGAAGTAGATGAACAAATGCTGAACATTCAAAACAAAAACAGCAGCTACTTTGTTGAATGGATTCCAAACAATGTTAAGACTGCCGTCTGTGACATTCCACCTAGAGGCTTGAAAATGGCTGCCACTTTCATTGGAAATTCCACTGCCATTCAAGAATTATTCAAACGTATTTCCGAACAATTCACTGCCATGTTCAGAAGAAAGGCTTTCTTGCATTGGTATACTGGTGAAGGTATGGATGAAATGGAATTCACTGAAGCCGAGAGTAACATGAATGATTTAGTTTCTGAATATCAACAATACCAAGAAGCCACTGTTGATGATGATGCTGAATTTGATGACGAACAAGAAGTTGAAGTTGATGAAAACTAATTTATTTCATTTATAAGTTACCAATTAAGACAGAGGAAATATAATATAAATGCAATTAAATTATTTTTGAATTTTTTGGAAGTTGTTTATACCTATAAATTTTTGTTTATATCTATAAACATGTGTATGTGCATACGCATGATGCTTTACATCATTCCTTAGAGCAATCAATGCATTAACAGGGCTTTAAATCTCAAATTGTTACACTTCGATTTTATATTTTAATAAAAAAGTTAACAAAAACCTGTATTTTAATAAAAAATGTAATTATAGGTTAGCATTTAAGTTATTTAAAAATTCCAATTTTTTTTCTAAAATAAAATATGTAAATATTTTATTTAAATTATAGTGTGGTTATGAGTAAAAACTTTCTTCCCATTGAAAATTAACAAGTATTAAGTTTTTAATTAAATAATAAATAAATTAAATAATCCTCTTTGAAAATTAAATATTTTTATTCATACAACTGACTGACTGATTTATCAAAAAATACTGCTATGAAAGTACGCAACTTTAAGATTTATGAATAACAATTATCTGATAGTGAATTACAATTTAAAAGTAATAACAAAATTTGGGAACCTAAAAATTATTAGATCGATATACGTGTATTTTACTTGTAAAGTATTTGTTTTATGTGAAATTAATAATAATATTAACAAGAAATAATTTACAAATATCAAAAGAAATTTATTTTCAATACATGTCTTTACATGTATCAAGGTCTTGACAATAATTTCCTGGCCGTGAGCTATTGTATACGTCGGATATCCGTGACAATTTTATTAAATTTGTGCGTGATATCACTAACCTTAATTACTTACTAATTAGTAATTAAATTAGTGTTTAAAAATTATGAGCAGTAGGTAATGTAACTGAGCATTTTTCTTCAAATGCGGTCTTTACTTGATTATTATGAGATGATATTTATGAATTACATTTGATCTTTTGCAAAAGTTGATTCGCAATACCAGTTTTTACTATAATTCCGCATATATATATATATATATATATATATATATATATATACAGACAGTCTGGATTAACCGACATGAATGGGAATCAAAAAGTTTCCAAATTTTCTAGACATTTCCAAGTTTGCAAAAATATCAATATTTTCAAAAAGGCAATTTTTCAATTTTTTCAATACTCATATTTTTCAAATATTTACGAAATTTCAAAAATGTTATAAAAAATCAAAATTACCAAAAAATCTTTTTCTGACCTTATTCTGACCATATTTAAAAAATTTAATTTTTGCTACGGAAAATTTCAGCAATTTGCCTTAAGGTATGACTAGTTAACTTCCCGTAGGGTAGTTATAGTAACGGGCCGAAAATCGAAAATGAAATTTTTTGCATTTCTCCACGTTTTGAAGGTTTCTGAATATTATGGCATACCTCAGAAAAAATGGATGTGTGTTTTTTGTATGTGCGTATTTTTCCGTCCACGTTTTCGGGCGCCCGGATCAACCGATTTGAATGGTTCAAACAACATTCGATTCCTACTGATAGGGAGATGTGCTGATATGTTTTCGGCAATGGCAGATCCACTCGTTACGGAGATACGCAGCAAAGAGTGCAGAAAATACAAATAGAGTTTTTGAGAGAACGGAGCATTCGATTTGAATCATCTAAAAAACATTCAGTTTGTAATGATTGGGAGAAGTGGTTATTAGTTTTTTGCAAAGACAGGTCCAGCCATTTCGAAGATACAGAGCTAAATGTGCAAAAATGGAAGTTTATGAGAGAACTAAGCGTCCGATTTGATCGATTCAAAGAACCTTCTGCTTGTTTTAACAAAATAATTGCTTTTGGAACAAAAAATTGTTTCAATTTTTTTTTTCAATTATTTAAAAAAAAAAAAAAATTGTATATCGAAAATAGTTCAAATTTTATTTTTAATTCTGACTAAAATTCTAATATGCTAAAATTTATATAATTCTTATAAATATCAGACAATGTTACAATATTTATAATAATCAATTTGAAAACATTCAATATTCTTCGAACACTTTGTTACGGTACGGGAAGTTCCAGCAATTTGCCTTAAGGCACGATATGCCATACACCACTAATTTATATCTATCGAATGGAAACTCAACTATTGATTTGTACTTTCCAACACGTCATTATTATAATACAAAGTTTTTTGAAAATTATCAAATTTGATAAATGTCTTTAACTGGGCAGTTGCAAATATATAATAATAATAATAATAAATGATGACGTATGTATAAATAAAAAATATTATGTAAAGATAATATAGGTCGAGGGCGTGCCTCCAGGTTTTGATGATTCACCTCAAAATCTTACAGACGATGAAGTCAAAAGAAAAAGTATGTTATGGTCGTAAATAAGTCAAAGGTTACAACCTGTGAACGCGATTATTTAATTGAAATAATTACATCACAAGTTTAATTTGATTAGCTTAAAATAATATAAACATAACAGAAGTTTTCAAACTTATTTGGTATTATATTTCTATCTTCATCTACGCATGAGCAACTTTGTGCTCACGACCATGGTACATTAATATTTGAAATAAAACAGTATGTTTTTGTCATAATAAATACTGTTTATTTTTTCATTTGTCTCTTATCTCGAGAGCAAATAATATTAATGAATTGCTGATGAATCTATATAATCGCTATTTATAAATTCAATAATTGGAAATGTAGTCTTGAATACGTATTTTTCGCTCTCAAGTGAAGAAAGTTGTCCAGCCAATAAAATAAGATCACTGAAAAAGAGGTTTGCCCACGCACGTGTGTCTTACTTTGTATGTATCAGTAAGAGATCAAATAATGAAGCTACATCTTCACTTAAAGAATTTGTGGGGATATTTCAGACAAACAGAAACATATACGTTTGTAAGAAAAATTGGTGAATTTTTATGTAGTGTTTTGTGTATTTAAATTATTTCAAAGTACAATTCATTTTTTTAACCGAGAAGCACAACTTTTATTCTATTAAAGAGATTTTAAAAATACCTATCTTACCTTGTTCTAAAAAAAATGAGATATTTTGTACTTCTTCTTAAAAAAGAAATGTATATGCATAATAATTCACTTACCCTTAGGGTAGGCTATAGTAATCGACTAATAATGAAAACTTATGCATATCTTCACGTTTCAGAGGTTTTTGAACATTTTGGCATACCTTAGAAAAAATCGATGTGTGTTTATGTATGTATGGATACAACTTTTCGTCCACGATTTTGGGCACATCGATCTACGGATTTCAATAATATAAAAAAAAATCGATTTCTATTGATGGAGAGGCGTGCTGATTGGCAAAGCAGCTCCAACCATTTCGGAGATACTAAACAAAGAGTGCAGAAAATAGAAATCGAGTTCTTGAGATCACGAAGCATCTGATTTGCATGATTCAATAAACATTCAATTTGTAATGATGGAGAAAAGTGGTAATTAGTTTCTGGCAAAGACAGGTGCAGCCGTTTCGGAGATACGGAGCTAAATGTGAAAAAATTGCAGTTTTTGAGATACAAATTATCCGATTTAAATAATTCAAAACTTTAGTCTGTATTGACAAAACGATTGTTTTGGGAAAAGCAATTTTATATTCAAATCCATCAAAAAGATAATAAAAACAAAAATTATGAACAAGCAAAAACCTTTACAGTCTGTTTGATATGGATTAACACAAATTTGCATAACAGTTAATAATTTGGCTGTTGAAGAGTTATAATTTTTATATAGTTATAGTAGTAGTTTTTATAGAGTTATAATTTATTTTATAATATTAATTTAATTATAGTTCATAATTTGGCTGATACAAACTCATTTTTTTCATTTTCGACTTCATTAAAAATATGTCACAAGTGGGATAGGACAACTTAGGGGCGTCCATTAACCACGTGATAGATTTCATAAGGTTTTTTGGATCTCCCTCCCAATTGGTGATACGTGGTGATTTTAAAAATTACCCCCCCTCACCGACCAAATAGTAAGTAAGATATCACGTGTATTTTTAAAAACCAAAAATTGTAAATTTTTTGATTTTTTTTGAAAATGTTTGAATTTTTTTAAAAAAAGTTAGGTAAAAAATAAATTCGTGATATCTTACTATACTCCTCTTTCCCCCACGTGATATTTCGTGATATTTTGTCGAACCCCCCTCCCACTAAAAACCTCACGTGATTTATGGAAGCCCCCTTATTACCTACCAAAAGACATTCATCTGCAAAAAACTTATATATAGTGCAGTAAACGGAGAGGAAAAAAGGGTATAACCTCTGAATTTTTTTTACTGTGCTCCGAATTGAATGAAATTTTGGAATTAGGTTCATCTTACCCTCAAGTTCAAAAGTGAAAACAATTCGGGTTGCGCCATCACCCCCCGGGGTGATGACGCCCCTTCTCAATTTCGTAATTACATTTTTTCAAAATAACGTCGGAAATCGATAGAAGAGCTAATTACAAGAAAAAAATGATTTTTTTAAAAATCGAAGTTATTTACATTATATCTCAAAAAGAATAAAAGATACGTATAAAAGCATATAGATAAAAATCAAAGGGATCTTTCTGGCTTATTGTTGTTTTTTATTATTTTTCTTTCAAGCAAAAATTGACAGAGTTATGAATGTTTAAAGACTGTGCGGTCGCGCAAATTGGAAAAAAAAGTTTTTATAAAATCGTGAGTTTTCTGAAAATAGTTTGCACTAAAGTAGTGAATCTGCTAGAATCCATCAAGATGTCTATAATGAAGTGAATTCTAGATGGAATATGATTTACTTTAGTTCTGGTGGAAATGGCGCTCATTAAACCATATGATTTAAAAGAAAAAACTTCGTATATGCTTCTTATTTGCATGATAGCTCACTCATTTTACACGCAAAAAACTTATAACAGCACTCATTTTAAAGCTTGAGCACTATAAAACCCAATTTCACCGAAATACATAAAATGTAAAACCTCGACACTAGATGGCTTTAAATACAACAATTAAATCTTGAACGAAATAAAAAACGACTTTGCTCTTTCAAATCTTGCTTAATATTTTTCCTAGAACACTTTATGTAATACCGATTTATTAAGATTTTTATTGACATTATTTTGCTCATTACATCATTTTCGTTAAAATGAATATTTTAGGAGATATTTGCAAAAAAACGAAGAAAAACGCCAAAAATATATGAATCTTTAGTGGCCAGTAACTTGAAAAGTATTAGTTTTTTTGAAAAACTATAAAATACATTTTTTTCTTATAATTAGCTCTTCTATCGATTTCCGACGTTATTTTGAAAAAATGTAATTACGAAATTGAGAAGGGGCGTCATCCCCCCGGGGGGTGATGGCGCAACCCGAATTGTTTTCACTTTTGAACTTGAGGGTAAGATGAACCTAATTCTAAAATTTCATTCAATTCGGAGCACAGTAAAAAAATTCAGACCTAAAACGCTCCGTTTACTGCACTAATATATATATATATATATATATATATATATATATATATACATTAAAATAATGAAATGTCTTTTTTTAGACACATAGTAATTCAAATATAAAGATAAAAAAAAATATTTTTAAAAATGCATAATTTTTTTTAAAAAGCATTTATTGTCAAGTGTAGCCGCGCACTATTTTCAGCTGCTCACTTCACAGGCAGTGTCTTTCCTGGTCCTTATGTTGGCGCGAGTGCAGAAGACGTAGGCGCACGGCTTCGATGATTAACATTGCGTTTGGCAGATACGATTTAAATATGTGTGGGTATTAACATTTAGTATTGAGTATCATATTTGGTCATAGTACCGCTTTATCGACGCCTACCTTATATGTAGTGTTACGTTTGAACTCATTATGTCCAATTCCGAATGAATTCATATCGTAATCCCTTCGATAATTGCTAAAGGTCGATGTTATTTTGAATTACGAAGAAAAAGAAACTGTTTTATACATTTTATGGACTTATGGCATAAAAATCGTTATTATTATTTACTATACATATTATTTTCGAATATTAATCAGAACTATAGGTGTTCTATAAGTTGTTGTAAAGATACTTAATTTTAGGTTCAATTAAGGCGTCCATATTTTTTTGAGTCAAAATCAGGACGGCCATTTAAGTTATGCTAATCTTGGACAGGCAGAGAGGGGGTTGTAATCATGTTGTAATAGTTTTTTATATGAATCAATTTTTTTAATCAGAATACTTTATTATCTTATACTTTCCCACACAGCTCGGGTCAAACAATGGTCGACCTGTTTGGTTCCATTTACAGCCTATCAGGTTATTATAAGCCCACTATGGACCCATTTATAATCCAGTGGGTTTAGACCCATACGTTACCCGCCGGGTTGTTATGGGTAATTTAATTCAATTTCCTTTTAATTTAATTTTTAAATAAAAATAACACTTGGTCGTTTATTCTCATAATTTTTGTAAATTTACCTATTAATTTTTGGAAAAACCGGGTCAATCCGGGACAAAAAATGTTTTTAGAAAAACCCGCGACACAAGGTGATAATTCGGGACTGTCCCGGCCAAACCGGGACATATGGTCACCTTAGTTGAATGCTATTAGAAGGCAGTCTAGTAATTGCCCTCATTAACTAAAATTTATATTTTATTTACTTCTGAAGCTTATTAGGAGGCAATTTAATGGTCTTTTCTTGGAAACATATCTGAACTAAATTTTAAAGTAAAAAGTGATATCACTGCTGTTTGATAATGGCTTGTCAATAACTTGTGACTAGTATACTGAACCAAGCTTTTTTCTTCGCGCTACAGGCCCTCATTTTGCTAAATATAGAAGGAAATATATTACATACTATATAAATGAGGTAGTATTTGGTTCTTGGTTATTTATTAACATCAGTATTACAACTTACCTTTTACATACGATCCCGAAATATTATAATATTAAACCATTTAGGAAACTTGAGTGTTAACAAAAAATTATATAATATATATTTTTTAAATATGTTGAAATATTGAAATACCAGAAATCAATCTTGTAAAAGTCTTGTTTTAATAGAATGAAATATTATTCGTTTACATACTGTGTGCGAAGTCCTAAAAATATTTTAGAAAAATGCACGTACATATTTGGGAAATGTATTGAGACTTTTGGAACCTGGAACAAAGTTTATCAAACCGTTGTAAAATATTTAAAATCGGTGCAGCCGTTTTTGAGAGAACGGCGATGAAAAGTTGAAAATTGATTCACAGACACATACCTATACGAAACGTCGAGAAAACCTAGAACTGTAAACCGGATTTTCTGGTGAAAACATGAAACACTCTCTTTCATAAAAAAAAACATTCTGGTTTAATGGTTTATCAAGGCGTTATAATCGTTGAATATCTGCACGGCGTATTTTTATCAAATATGGCAATCCATGAAGAATAAAAATATTCAGTGAATTAAAGATGCAGTTTTTGTGAGTTAAAATAAACTGCATTAATCAAGTCTTTCAAATTGTTATATACATTTTGAAATGTAAATAATATGTAGATCTATTTACTTATTGACTCTACAATGGATAGCTAAAGAGTATTTGCACTTTTTTCTCATATTTATTTCTGAATTAATAATATATATATATATATATATATATATATATATGTATGTATATATATGTGTTTTTTTTATTTAAAAAATAAAAATAATACAGTTTAGGTTTATATTTTTGATTGTAAAAGATAACAATCGATTAATCATTTATATAATGTTCGATATTGTTACAAGAAGTAGGATAATAATTATTAATACATATATATTTATGTGTATAATTATGCACTTTAAAGATGTATTCTTCCAGAATATCTTATTATCATAACACATCAAATTAAATTCTTATTTATATTTTAATTAATTAAATTCTAAATATATTGCCACACATGAATGAATAAAACAGAATATAAGTAGTTGCTTACATTTATAAATATCATATTTATGACAAATAATATCTATCGTCTTCTTACAAGAGCATTGTTCTGTTTGACAAAACCAGTAAAAGTAATCCTATATAAGGGATAGAATTCATGATCACTGAACTTTACAACTACAGATTTACTTTCATCATTTTTAATTGCTGTATCACACCATAATCCATCTTCAATTAAATCTGGCAATTGCATTCCTGTCACTCCCACACACTCTTTTGCTACGAGCACTAAGCAAGCCAGCATTTGCTTATATGGAGTTTTTTCACAACTATAACAAGCATAAGTTGAAATTGGAGAAAAACTTATTCCATGACCGTATTCTGTAATATAAAACATATTAGTTTATGTTGATTTATCTTTTAACCAAATAACAAACTTATAATTTGAATATACATACTAGAATTGATGCACAGACGCCAATTGAAGTTATTGTTACAGATGCTTAAAATGTTCCCCACTGACGATCCATGAAATAAAAGTTCTTCAGCTACATTTCCATAACGTGACTGCAATTCTTGTTTTTTCAATAAATATTTCCCAAATGCTACTGGATTCTGTATTAATTCAATTTTTTCAATCTGGAGGAAGGATAAAGAGAAATGAAAATATAAGAAATTATGAAGAAAAAACGCAAACTACAGTTAGTGCACTTTGGAAAAATTATTAAATTAGAATTGTTAAGTTCTGTTTCGCTCTTATAAAATCAGAGTGTATAACATAACAATAATTATATATATGTATATGTATATATATGTAAAATGTGATTACCTTAAAATTCTGCTTTACAGCTGTACCATAAAATTTTTCTGCAACATATTCATAGCTTTTTGTTCCATTTTGAATTGGTACATACAAAATTTTAGTTTGTAACATCATAGGAAGCCAGTTTTCAGTTTCATCTGTACTTAAAACTGATGGTATAAGTTGTATTTCATCATCCTCAAAACTCTGGTCTCTGAAAACATGCGATGAATTGGAACAAAATATTCATTGAAACGATTATCTGATATCACATGAAATATTTGAAATTACAATGTATACTTACTTATCAGACAATTCATTATCAAGGACATTATTTGTTGGTACAATATTCGGAGGACTAGTTGCTTCAGATAAATTTGTTGTAGGGTTTATATTAGCAAAATCCCTGGAATAGATATTAAAGAATGTAATATATATATATATATATATATATATATATATATATATATATATAGCCAAAGCGTCGAATGTAGAACTGTTTAATTTAAATTTTTATATGTTCCGAGACTAGATGTGTCTCATCATTCAGCTAAAAGAAATAATTTCTTTTAATTAATTTTTCAAATTGTAAAATTTTTAATTCTAAAACCTTTATTTATATTGTAAATTTATTTTAGCTGAATGAAGAGACACATATCTAGTCTGAAATGTATAAAAATTTAAAATAAACATTTCTACATTCAAATGCATTGGTTGTTTTATTCAATTCAATATCTTTCAACGTTGAACAAAAAATCTTCAAGGTATATATATATTATATATATATTGCATTTTATTGCATTTATTATCTTTCAACATTGAACAAAAAATCTTCAAGGTATATATATATTATATATATATTGCATTTTATTGCATTTATAATAATTGCATTATTTATGATACCAATTATATATAGTGCAGACTAATGCTAGATATACTGTTTTTTCTAGCAAGTGAATAAATATAGTATGTGCCAATTAAAAATTAAGACCAATAATAAAATAAGTTCAATTATTTTGATTTTAACAATTATATATATATATATATATATATATATATATATACATATATAAAATGCCAATTTAGTCTCAAGGCCTAGTTGTATATATTTGATCACATATAACGAACAAATGAATTCTTAACTTCTTAACTATTTGCAATTTATATTCATATTTAGTCACCTACATATTTATATTGGATGGTATTTCTGGATCATTACATTTAGAATACACCAAGCACCAGGAATCAACTGCACTAGGTGATCCAACAGTTTTGCTTGGGCCATTGTTTAAATTATGCCTGGTTAAAAAATTATTATATTTATATAATATATAATATAATATAAATATATATACATATATTTAATAAAAAAAATTATATATAAGTATATATATATATATATATATATATATATATATATATAATATCATCAGTTTTATAAAATTCTTATATTTTGTTAGTTTCTGAATACTTCATAATAATTTTACATATATGATAAATTATATCATTTTGATACACAGATGCCAGAGGATCAGAGACCTAGTTTTGTTTGTTAGTAAAACTTACTTGTAATTTTTATTGATTTGTAAGTTGTCCGTTTCTTTGCCTGATAAGTTGTTGGTGTTACCATTTCCTGCTGGAAACTGTTCTCTTTCATCATTATTGGTCATAATTGGATTAGTATTGGTTATCCTAGATTCCTGGCTTATTCGGCGCGATTGAGACGTAGCCCTTCGTTGAGATGTCGGGGAATTTCCCATTTTTTTAGGAATCCAATTAACACTTAATAATAAAGTTTTTAATTTTGGAAATTGTAAATACTTATTTAATGACAACTACAAAACAACAATCTCTTGATTCAGTTCAGAATACTCATGATAACGATGCCGAGTTGTCGAACTGTCAGCCTCAGTATCGTTATCAGAGATGGTCGTAGTGATACATACATACTCCAAATGATTAATTTAAAATAAAATTTCAATTGCTATACCATTAATACAAATATTAATGATTTTTTATAATTAAACGCCCTTTAACTATTTGCTAAAACGTTTTGAAGATTTTGAAGAAACATTACATAGTTTTAGTTCATGATGTAAGCGAAAGACCTACGAAATATTTGAGGCCTATGAAAAAGGTTTTTTTATAGTTTTGAAAAAATTGATATTTTGAAATTGGAATTGAAGTATTTAAAATCAATTTAAAAAATTAGTCAGTTAACATATATTATAAATATATTTTAGTAGTTATATTTATAAATAAAAGTACAATGATTTGTTATAACATACAATAATTTATTAACAAAGTAATTTATATACATTTTATTAAATCTTATTTTCTTTATTTCTAGGTTGTAAGACCGGTGTTTTCCAGCGCCTGCTGTAAACAATAATTTCGGGTATTCCCAGAAAGTACATCAACATAGCACACAGAGTACGAGGATACGCTACAAAGGTAAGTGCCATCTGTTATAGTTCTGTTATTAATTCTGTACTATTTCATATATTAATTATTATCATTAGTGCAATTATTATTAATATTATTATTAATAATAATACTAAGTGACCCAATACTTCAGATTTCGAGTAAAACCGGCTATATATTATTCTTTTGCCATTTGAATTTTCAACCTTAACATGAGCAGTTAAACCCTTAGTATCTTTATACTTGTTTATCTAAGCTTGCGACAAACTAAATAAGTAATATTTAGTGATTTTTAGGCAAAATTTTAATATAAGTTTATACCGTACAATTTTTCATAACAAAATTCTACAAGAAGTTTGTATTCCAACCAAGCTCTGCATAGTATTCCTGTCGTTTAATAGATGACGGGTGCGTTTTTATAAAAGATTCTTTCAAAATTATATTTTAACATTAGAACTCCTTTTAATAATTTAATATCTTCTTATTTCTATTTACTCTATTTAATGGCAATGTGTATATTTAAAGCCCGACACTAAAAGGCAAATATTTAATATGTGAACCATGTTCACGGTAGTTAATATGTGAAAGTTTGTTTCACAATAACCATTTTCTATTATCACATAACATCTACCTTGATTATTATTCTCAACACAATTAAAATCGGTTCGCCAAATATAAGCGTTTTCCTATATAGATTTCGATTACTTCATGTTTGATGTGGACACCTTTCTTGGCTCATAATCTGTATGTACTAATTAGAAAATAAGCACATTCAATTTTTTTTTTGTAAAACAAAAATATATTATAATAGAATCAATTTCTGATAAATAATTATTATAAATAATAATCAGCCATTATAATATCTTCAAATTGTTTTATATATGACAAAAAAAAAGAATTCTATGTGTAAAACTAAAATTGATCTTCTCATCAGCTTCTGGCCTAAGAGTGTCTTAGTTTGCAGATGGATTATCATACACATTTTTTTGATGAAAATTACCAAAAATGTGAAGTTGACTATAGTATCAGACACACATTTGCATTAAAACTCTTCTTGATTCAAAATACTTATTACTGATCATTTTGGCTATGATAGTTCCGGAATCAATCTCATGATTCTAGCTGCTTGACATCAAGTTGTAGTGATATCAGATTTTTCTTAAAAAAGAACAGAATATGCTTCTAAATAAAAGTAGACTTTCGATCCTTTGTTGCTATATCACAAATACTGGGTTGTTCGGAAAGTAACTTCGTTTTTATAGACACTTTGGCACGTAATTTTCGTACAATAAACAATTACTTCAATGAATTATGTATTGGCAATTTTGTTCGAACATATTTTGTAATGTTTCTGGTATTAGCATAATTCCGAAATTATAAGTTTTTTGGTCGTTATTGGCAAAAAACTGATCAAAGTGCTTTTTAACAGGCTGATTTGAGGTAAAGGTTTTACCACTTAAAATTTTTTTTAGTGGCCGGAACAAATAATGTTCCGATGACGGTAGGTTTGGAGAATATGATGAATGTGTCATTTCTGAACCTATTCAAGCTACAAAAGCTTTTGGCGATTGACCAAACTTATGTGAGGTCTTGCGTCGTCTTGATGCAGGATTATACCTTCCTTGTGGGTTAATTTTGATATCATTATCATTTAGATTATTCAGCTGATAAAATGAGGCATCCGAATTAACCGTTGTTATTTTCGGAAAGCTGAAAAATGAACAAATCTACCAAACATACTGCATCATCTTTTTCTGGCAAGTTTCAGCTTTGCACCTGTTTTGAGCATGTTTTTCTTTTTTGTTTCACGGGCAATTAGGTGTATTGTATTCTTTACATTCCATATGAAATTCCTAGTGACAATTCGCTTCAAAACCTGATAATTTTCAAGACTTTTCAGAGGCGAATCGCGTACGCCAGTGCGACGACACACGTTTCTCTCTATGAGAACCATATATTAAGTTTCGATGAAAATCCCAGACCTTTTGAGTGGTCATGAACATTTAAATTTGATAAATTTTTACTCAATGGGATCGCATGCATTGTTATTCGTCGATTTGCATCCACTAATGACTATCTCGCATCTTCATCAGCTTCAACCGTAGTTCTTGGACTTGATGCAACTTGGACTGCAATTTTGATACTGTTGTACAATCAACACGTCATTTCCGTACATATCGATCAATTTCATTTTGACTTGAATAGTTTTTATACCTTTTCTATAGCAAAATTATAAAATATGTCGAAAACTGCTTAATTCTTTCCGAAGTCAAAGTGGCACCATCCAAAAACTACTGCGTGTAATTGATTAGAATCAATTAGAATTTTTTACACACAAGCTTTAAAATATAAGTTTCTAAATCAAATAATAATTATAGGGCTTAGGTGTGATATTAGGTTAAAAAAATATAGTTAAATTCTGGTGGTAAAAAAAAATTGACTTTTCAAACAATCTCATAGAAAGAATGGTCATAGGGCTATCTCTAATATCGTTTAGAAGTAAATAAAATAAAAAAATCAGGTAAGGATAACAATAGTTAGATTGCATACTAATATCATTCGTAAAAATAATAACCCTAGAAATTACCATTGTTCACGACACCTTATACAAGAACTAGACTGCTAAATGTCCTAATATATTCATCTGCCTAAAAATACAGCCTCTGGCGTCATGAAAACTCCTAAAGGTGGAATATTACAAAAATTCAATCGTTTTTTATCGATTTAGTAGATTTTATCATCTATCATGCTTTTCCAAGAGATTCAATACACAGTCATCTTAATATTTATAAATTACAAACAAAACCGCCATCGATAATTCAAAGCATACTGTCGCGGTGTAATTATAAATATTTATTTTTTATAATGACTCCGTGATTTTTCTATTGTTATTATCGAAGACATTATATCATATCATCATTCACGATGTGGTTATTTTAATTATTATATAATTATCATGGAATTTAAAAGAGATGGACAATCGAAGGTCAAATATACACATAGGCACATAGACAAATAGATACATAGATGCACACCTGTACACCTGTACCTGACGCGAGAGATAGTACACAACCTTCAATTATGGCCTGTAACAGCTCTGTGCACGGAATACTAATCTTGATCTCAAAACTGTTGCATGAATGATGCGATAATCAATGTTTGCATAGATTTTTATAGACACATTCATTATTACTATTATGCAAGCTTTTAGAGATACGTTTGTAATTTGTAATATCATTGGTATCGTACATGTCCTCATTTTGATATCGGCCGAATTAATTAAACTCTCAAATCAGACTAATTGTAAGAACCACTTATTAGTTGATATTTAGGCTATGAGATTGATGGGTCGATTCTAAAATAGACCGATGTTACGTACGTTAAGGCTATGTTACGTATCGTTTTTCATATAAAGTGTCACTAAAAACTGTCAAAATACTAAGTGGTTACTATGCAGTCAGGCGTTTTAGACAGAAAATCTAACCTAGAAAACGCACTAACGCCAAAATATAATCTCATCATAAGTGCATGAAATTATTTTATAAGTAAATACATTATATAATTATCATGCCTCTTTACTATACAAAGTCCCTTTACGGCCGACAATTGTAAATTCCACAAAGTTATTAAAAGTTCTTAACTGGACAGTTGTAAATAAAATATAGAATACAAATAAATAAAATTAGTGACTTTTTGTGATGTGGCGAATAACATACGAGAGGAGTTACATTTTATGTGTAAAACATCTAACTTCACAGCAATAACATTTCGACAGTTTTTAGTATCATTTTATATGCATCAAATATTTTTAGAACTTTCGCTTAGATCACGAACCAAATCCATGAAAGTTTCTTCAAAATCTTCAATACACTCTAGCAAATAACTATGGAAAAACGGCTCGGCCGATCTTTATCTAGAACTAATCAGCGGGATTCCCAACTGATATTTTTCGAATAGTGTTTGAAATTTCAAAATCAATTTAAAAAATAGTCAAAAAAATTAAAATCATTAGTCAAACGCTAGTCTTTATCGAGTTTATTAAAACGCTACGTAACATAGCCTTGCCATAACATGGTCCATTTTATGTCAGAATCGCCCTTTAACATTGATTTTAAAACTGTATTTATAACATCGCTTTAATAAAACACAGACACACATGACTGACGTGTTAATATTAAAATATGTTCTGAAAGAAGTATTAAGTAAAGTTTGGAATTTTTGAAAATATTCATATTTCCCAGATGAACACTTGCAAATATTTTTACAGTGGCATGAGATAATTTATTGCAAATTTATTATTCACTTATTCATCGCTTCAACATTAATCGTTTAAATATAAACTTCAAGGATAAATACACAACAAAGTATTTTGCAGTAAATTGACTTTATGCATTGAATTTTAAAATATTTTTAAATTTGTGCTGAATAAATATTTTCA